CAGGGTTAAGAAAAGCTTGCAAACACTGGCGAGGATATCCTAAGGTATAACGACCCGAGCATAAAGGCCTTTTTGTTATTTTTGTCTGTGCTGATTTGTACCTGCAGCAGGGGAATAAAAGAATAAAGAACTTTGAAAATGTAATGTGAGTTTAGTAACAGCCTTGCTGACTTTCAGAGCACTGGCATGAAAGGGCTTATGTGCTGCAAAGGCTGTGAGAGCCAGTAGTAAGGGTGGAAAAGAGTATCTCTGCGATCTCATCGGAGTAGTTGGATGACCCTTCTGAGTGGGAAGCACAGAAAGCCAGGACCGCTGCCTAGGAGGTGTCTTCAGGGGGAAACACAGTGGGTACTAAAGATCAGGTTTAACCTTAAACAAAATAAATAATTTGAACAAGTCACGGTAAGAAGTTACGAATACAAACAGACTCTGTACTACAGCAAATTACTTGAAATTGATGAACTCAAATTTTAACACAATACTTCCATGGTGAATATTACCCAGAGGCAAACCACCATCTTTTAGACAGTAATAAATGCACAGCTGTAACTGGATTTTTGGCAGTCAGACTGAATTTGCCTGACTAGTTGAGTAACTACATATTTATGCTGATATATTTAACTGAAAGTATTTTCTTCCTCCTCTCCCATGATAGGAATATTGGCAGGTCAGTAGACTGAACTAGTAACACTCATACAGTACCTGACTCCCAACCTGATTTACTTACCCTGTTAACAGGAGCTTACGAAGCAAAGTGGCTTCATGAGTGGTGGAGAGTCAGAGACTGAGTTTGTGCCGCTGCTGGCTGGCTGCTCACAGGGCTCCTCCAAGAGCTGCCCCCGTGCTGGTTCTTCCGTGGATGCTCCCACCTCTGTTCCTCCCACTTCTCTCTTGACTCAGTGTTTTCTTCTAATTCACTTGTTTTCCAACTGCCATGAGAGCAGTACCTTTTTTCTAATAGTTGTCTGGTTTTTTGCTGTGTCAAATTTTATTTTGACTAAATCTTGCTGCTGCATTTGTGTGTTCTCTTCCTTTTAGCTACCTTGGTACTGCGTCTTTGTGGCCAGGTTAGTAACTCTTATTTAGGCAGATGTAATACCCGATAGGATGGGTGAGAATAGAGCAAATTCAAACGTGCAAGTGGGTTTTTTTCTGCTCAAATCTTAATTTGCAGACTTTGCCATAAACAGTCCCACGTGGGGTACTTCCTTCCGTTGACCTCACAGGCTAGATCACTAGGTTATCATTGGTGTAGGAACACGACTCAGACTTTTGGGGGATTGATGTTTAGGTCGTGGTGAGAGTACAGCTGATTTTGTGCGTAATATAACGTCAAGACATCAGAGAAATACTATGAAACAAGCTAAATAGAAGATTGACATTCTGTATCCTAACAGCATTTATTTTATTAATTTTTTCTCACTCATGCAGCTCTAAATTGGAGAGAGCAGAGATAGCCTACTCCTAAAAAAAAATCGTAAGTACAAAGTGTAAATACCTAAAATGATTGTGCAGTGACTTTTTTTCTTATCTTCATGTTTTTCCAGGGCATTGGGTTACCTAAAAATTAATTTCTTTAGTCTTGGAGGAGCTTGTGGACCGAGAAATTGCATATGAATCCTAGGCAGGAAGGCAGCTGATCAAAAGCTGCATGCTTCCATAAAGCAACTGGTTTGTGGTTTGGACACACTT